ACAAGAACATCAATCAGTAAAACAATATAAAACATTACATACGTTAAAAACACATTAGACCGAGCTCGATTTTAAAAGCCAAAAGATGTTCAAACTTCAGACTACTTTTGGGTCTTTTGTTTCGTTATTGATCAAATGAGTCTCAGCTTACCGTCCATTCAGTAGCTGTTAGTACATTAGTATATTATAGTTATATTTGAGTTCTGTAGGCAGCCAATAATAAGTAAATCTTGTGTTATTTACCTGAGACACAGTTTATAATGTTAGCACTTTAAACCTCTGAGATGCAAAAATTCCAAGCAGATTTCCTTTTAATGGAGATGCTTCTGTTTAGTCACAACTTCCCTCAGTGCTGAACTATGAGTGTTTTTGTGTTTTAGCACATCTTTGCACCTGTGGAGTGTTTCACAAAGCTCACTAACAGAGTATGCCTGACTTCCTGCGCTGAATAAAACCCAAAACAGCTCTTTTTTTAAAAAAACTTTTAGTCAGTGTTCCAGATTTGAAGAGCTTCCTGATCGACTCTCCCTCAGACATTTGTGTGAACTGTCTCTTACCGAGTCATGTGGGTGCTGGCAGGGTGCACACATCATCGTTGGTTCACTGTGCTTTGACATTGATGCTAATATTGTGATTTAATGGGATTCACCGGTAACCCAACAATATACATTCGAGGTGGACCAGAGGACACAGCTAATATTCTGAGAAGCACTCAGTGAATATTGATTCATGCCTCACTGTGCTGTCATAAAACAACTGATGCACACATGTTTAAGTACAAGGTACTCAATGGACTGTGGAGTATGTGAGTGAGAAATCCCGTCCTCCGCGTTTTTATACCAACAGTGCTTATGTATCATTTTCTCCACAAACGAGTGGGTCCATTTTATATATCTGCTTTTTAATTTTTAAGGCAAAAGTGCTTCTCATCCTAACTCTCTTCTTACTCACAACACTGGCAGACACTTCAGCTTTGCACAGCTGGCACATTGCTTCACTGAGATCAAAGAAGCACCACACTGCAGACATTTTTCCTCCTGCCAGAAAATGTATTTTACTGCACCAGAGTGCGGCTCACTAAAGAACTGGTACTGAATACGCTTTGTCTGCAGATCAGAGTGCGAGAACCCGGTAACTGGAATTGTAAGACGGTTTGGATGATACTGTGTTGTTGTACATGATGCACTGGAGTCCTCCTCACCACCTCTACCATAAGGTTTTATTGTCTTCTGAAGAATTCGAGTGCCTGTTTAATGCACAGGCAACACCATTTTCTTTAATTGATGCGGCGAAAAGCAAAGACATTTAAAAACTACTAGCAGCTGGAAGTAGGAGGGATCATATTTAACATTTTCTTCCTTGTGATGTGGGAATTGTTGTGTTCTTAGCTTAATTATGGCTCAGACTTTGGTCACCAAAGAAAACATAACTCCCCGCAGTGTGGCAGTACTTGTGTTTAACATTGAGCCGTGTATAGACAAGATTGTGTTCAGTGTATACAGTTAATTACCATTTCATTACGTTAGATCCATAGAGACTGTAGCGATTGTTTTCCATATTTTAAATCCTCAAGATGTTGCTTCTTTTTTTTTAGGAGTGCTGCTAATGTATGTGTGAAATATTAACATGTGAGTGCAAAGGGCAGCTTGTCTAACAGTTTTCAGTCATTCTGCCTTAAAGTAAAACAATAATCTAATAAGTATTAATATTTAACTGTTCTAGGAGTTCTGTTTGCTCTAGTATGAAAGTTCCCACACCGCAACAAGACTTCTTTCTCTTTCATATTTAAATTTCTGTGTGTGAAAAAACTAGTCACTCCTGATCTTTCACTTTAACTCTTGGCAGAGACCCTGCCTTGGGAGTGAGACTTTAGTGAGTCATGCAGACAAACCTCCCGCCTTTAAGACCCAAACAGTATGTTACAGAGACACAACACAGCCTGTAATATAATCATCCGCACTTTGTTATGTTAGTGTAATGTTTTAGCAGGCTTTGGCCTCATCTGAAAAACTACCTGCTCACTAAACTCAACCCTTTTGTTGTTGAGCTAGTGAGCAGGCCTCAGTTTAAGTGCTGGCCGTATTGTTTACGTACAAACATAATTCATAAATGTGTTCACACCTTTTGCTGTGTTTTAAAATGCCTGATTCATTTTTGTTCTTTTTGTTTCCTCCTCATCTCCTCTGACAGAGCAAAGACAAGTTGTCCCCTTTCACCAAAACTCCGAAGCTGGACCGGAGTGAATTGCTGGGGAAGGAAGGGAAAGCCAAGTCTTCCATGAAGCGCAAGCTCTCCTTCACTGCCAGTCCGCTCCGGACAGAGGAGCGAGACTCTGACACCGGTAAGAGCTGTTGCTGCTCCTCCCTGCTCCTCTTTCAACAGCCATGCTGCTGGCTGGCTGCCATGTCCTCACTCTGCCCCCTGGTGGCCTAACATTTTCTTTTGGGGCCGTCTTTCGGTTTATGTTTTTGACCTTTTTGGCAACAGGATCCAAAGCTGATCATGCTGAAGAAGTTGTGTCCTGCTGTGTCGAACAACAAGATTATACACTGTTGAATTATGAGGTTTGAGAAGGAAAGATGATGGGAAGTAGTTACGTTAGAGTGATAACTTAAGGCTCTCAACCCTTCTAACTAGATTGTCCTGTAGTTCATTATTCGCTGACCGGTTTTTAAAGTTTAAATGTAAAGCTGCAGATAAGCTGTATTTTTCTCATTGTCAATAAATCCCATGAAAATCTCCAAAACCAACAACGAACTGATCCTGTAAACAAGTCTGTGTATCCTCTGCGTCATAGACCTTCTTCAATAACTATTAAAAACACGTCAGTGAGCCGCACCGTTACACTCGCTGACGTCTTTCTTTATTACTGTGAACACTAGCACTGTAGCTCATGTTGAGTCGTTGCCACATACACCGTCCTGAATATCATCCACTGCTTCAAATAGTCCCTAACAAATGCACTTATTTGCTCTGTTTATTAATGTTAGCTACAAACTACCTAGCTCTTTTTGGAAGACTTTTTTTTACAAAAATAAAACCTTATGTGGACGATTTAAGTGACTTGTTCTTAAAGATTTATGTCTTCAGT